TACGTTACAAGAACGACAAATGCTTGGTCTTCAAGGACTTTTGCCTCCCAAAATAGAGACACAAGATATTCAAGCCTTACGATTCCATAGAAACTTGAAAAAAATGACTAGCCCTTTAGAAAAATACATCTATATAATGGGCATACAAGAAAGAAATGAGAAACTGTTTTATAGAATACTGCAAGATGATATTGAAAGTCTGATGCCAATTGTATATACACCAACAGTTGGTCTTGCCTGCTCCCAGTATGGGCACATTTTTAGAAGACCTAAGGGGTTGTTTATTTCAATCTCAGACAGAGGTCATGTCAGATCGATTGTGGATAACTGGCCAGAAAACCACGTTAAGGCTGTCGTGGTGACTGACGGAGAGAGAATTCTGGGTCTTGGAGATCTGGGTGTCTATGGGATGGGGATCCCCGTTGGGAAGCTTTGTTTGTACACAGCATGTGCAGGAATACAGCCCGAGAAATGCCTGCCTGTGTGTATCGACGTGGGAACTGATAACAAAGCACTATTAAAAGATCCCTTTTATATGGGCTTGTATCAGAAACGAGATCGTTCCCAACTGTATGACGACCTGACTGATGAGTTTATGAAGGCGATTACTGACAGGTATGGACGGAACACACTCATCCAGTTTGAAGACTTTGGGAATCATAATGCCTTCAGGTTCTTAAGAAAATATCGAGAAAAATACTGTACTTTCAATGACGACATTCAAGGGACGGCTGCAGTTGCTTTGTCGGGTCTTCTCGCGACCCAAAAAGTTATTAATAAACCAGTCTCAGAACACAAAATCTTATTTCTTGGAGCAGGAGAGGCCGCCCTTGGAATTGCAAACCTTATAGTCATGTCTATGGTGGAAAGTGGCCTCTCAGAAGAGGAGGCACGGAGGAAGGTCTGGATGTTCGACAAGAACGGCTTACTAGTTAAGGGGCGGGCTGCTAGCATAGATAGTAACCAGGAACCGTTTGCTCACTGTGTCCCTGGGAACATACCTGGAACTTTTGAAGATGCAGTAAATGAACTTAAGCCTTCAGTTATAATTGGAGTGGCAGGTGCTGGCCGGCTTTTTACTCCTGGCGTAATCACGTCCATGGCCTCTATCAATGAAAGGCCTATAATATTTGCATTAAGTAATCCCACAGCACAGGCTGAGTGCACAGCTGAAGAAGCATATACACTCACAGAGGGCAGGTGTTTGTTTGCCAGTGGCAGCCCGTTTGAGCCAGTGCAGCTCCAGGATGGACGAGTCTTCACCCCGGGCCAAGGAAACAATGCGTATATTTTCCCAGGTGTGGCTTTAGCAGTTATTCTCTGTCAGACCCGGCACATCAGTGACAGTGTTTTCTTGGAAGCTGCAAAGGCACTGACAAGTCAGTTGACCGATGCAGAGTTAGCCCAAGGGAGGCTGTACCCATCACTTGCTAACATCCAGGAAGTTTCTGTTAACATCGCTATTAAAGTTGCAGAATACCTGTATGCTAACAAAATGGCTTTCCGATACCCAGAGCCTGAGGACAAGGCCAAGTACGTTAAAGAAAGAATATGGCGGAGTGATTATGTTTCCCTGCTCCCGGACGTGTACGATTGGCCGGAGTCTTCACTGAAGCCTCCTCAGATGTCTGAATAGAAACTGCCCCATTAAGACATTCCGTGCTTCAGAGAACCACTATTTTCAGACAAAAAGATAATCTTCTCAGAGTTGAGTGTCGCCTGTGCTTTATTCCTCCACACCACTTGCTTGGCATCTCTTTCTGTGAATCTCTCTCCTTGGGGACAGACGTGTTGACTATACTGCTGATGCCCACCAGTGCCCACAGTCCAGTACTGAGACCGCGTCAGTCCTGACGGTTGTCGCCATTGTGCCCTTGTTGGAGCCGGCCACAGTCACCTTGCTGTTACATGAATGTATCCTCCACCTCCACTCAGCTCTTCCAGGGCTGTGGATCTGGGTACAGAGTATTGAGAAGAAGCCAAAATTTACCTAATTCCAAAGAAAACTTGTCAGTACTTAGAACTGTTCTTTTATATGTTTTCACTTTCATTTTACTTTCGTGCTCTGAAGTCCATTTGTAGTATACAGATCTGGGGAAATACGAAGAAATCTCCCCAATTTCCTGGAACTAAATCCAGGCTAACTAACATTATAGACGAGTGGGAGGAGCCAGTGCTGCCTTTAGACGAGCTGAAGAGTCGCTTGCAACACTGTACAAAAATAAATACTACTTATTTAATAAAAGTAATACCTTATATTTAATTGTTTCAGTTACATTATCTTATTGATCAAACAGAAACCTAGGTCTGTTGATGCTGAAAACAGTTTCATTGTCTTCACGTCTAGTTGAGGGAGTGTCACCGACTAGCAGCTTATGACTCATGTCATGTAATCTGGAAATCGTATCTGAAGGACTTGACTACATACAACCTATACCTTTTTTTCTTTCTGCCATATTCTTTGCAGTCATTTGGGATTCTCCTGTGACTCATTCCTTTTGAGTATTGGTAGTGACATCTTTCTCTGCTGAGAAACTCAGTGGATATAAATAAAGTAGAATTAGACCAGGAAATGCCTTTTCTTTTCTCGAGGCAGGGTCTCATTGTGTAACCCTGGCTGTCCTAGAACTAACTCTGTAGACCAGGCTGGCCTAGAACTCACAGAGATCGCCTGCAGAGTGCTAGGATTAAAGGTGTGCACCACTCCACCTGGCAGAAAATACCGCTTTTATCCCAGGAAAATGGGAAACGCTATGTAAAGACATCAGTGTTCACAGGTCACGTATCGGGGATGCTGAAGGACCTCTCTGAAGTATTTTGAGAAGTAGCAGTGTGGCAGTGATGTTTGCCTGTCTAGGTGCTTTGAGGGACAACGCTCGTTTTTGTTATGAGACTGTAGCAAGGTGGCCTGGAACTCACTGTGTGTTACTGGCTTGCTTCCAAGTGCTGAGATCATAGTTACAAACCACCATGCCCTGCTCAGGACCAGAAATTAAGGATGCTCACCCTGGAATGGTAGCAGTACAAAGCAGTTCATAGTTAACATATCACAGGACATACTGTATGCTCTCTGTTGGTGAAAAGGATCTTTTCAGCTTCCCGCTTAAAGAAATTGATTTAAAATTCTGATACCAAGACTGCTTAGTGTATACCAGACCTTGGGGGTCAGTCCACAGGACCACCCCAAAAAGAAGCAGACTTAAAATGGCTTTGTCATTTTAAGTATGGATAGATATGGTGGCTAATTTAATGTATGAATAGTCAGAAATATGTTTAGCAAAATATGTCATGGTTTGATGCCTTTGAAGATGAAAGCTTATACAACTCTGGATCCAGCACTGAGGCAGGAGGACCTCAAGTTCAAAGCCAGACAGGATGGCATAGTATCTATCATCTGGTCTGCAAAAATGAGTCCACAAAGTGAAAGCAAGATGGCTCCGTCGTTGTTAAGGCCCTTGTCCCAAGCCTTGACATTTAAATTTAGTTCCTGGCCTCAGTTCTCACCTTCCAGGCTCTGGAAGTCCTAACCTCACACATACTAAACAAATGCTTTGCCACCCAGCTACAGCGCCAGTCTTCGCTGCTGTCTTGGCTCCCCCCCATCCAGGCCCTCACACCCATCCCACGCTCAGAGATCCTTCCGCTGCTAATTAAAGGCCAAATCTAAATTCTCATAATCCCATATGCATGCCTACAGGTAATTTCTGGCTTTTCTATTTGTTTTGGCCGGGAGGGGGCGCAGGAAAATGGTTAAGTCCAAGTGACAGAGCAGGTGCAGAAAGAACGCCAAGGACTGCCAGCCTTGCCCGAGGGGCACATTTGTTTACATTTGGCCTCGTCGTTCCTTCTCTCCTCCTCTGTCGCTCTGTACACAGAAAGGTTATTTTCTGAATGACTGAGAGTGGGTTGCAGGCATGATGTTTGGATCTCCAGAGCGGCCTCCGCGCTCCCTGCACCCTCTGCCTGGAACTCTTGAGTTCACAGCATCTGCACCTCCTTCGGTTTTCGCCCACATCACTTCACAAAGACTTTCTCTGACTCACCCTCTAATAACTGCAGCTGAGACTCCCCAGCACCCCCTCTCTAATTTTCTCCGCTATCTGATACAGTGATATCATGTCTTTGTCTCTCCCCTCCTGAGTAAGAATGCTATGAAAACCGGGCTTTTTTTTTCTTTCATGTTTTCAAAAAACACCCGAGTTTCTCCCACAGCACTCGCCGGGCAGGCTCCTGACCTCTGGTGTGTGTGGATTTCCCTTCACCCCCGAGCAAGCGATGGCGCAGCCCTCAGGATCTCAGTTTCAATTCTTTCGCTGTCTATCTGGAGACTTGGGTGTGGCAACCACGAGAATGCTTTCACCGTGTCGGATTATGAGCCACAAGCGCTACACTTTGAAATCGTGTTCCCTTTGAACTTGGAAGATGGGCTGCCTTTGGACTCTCTCAGCCAACAACTTACGGCAGCACGCAGCGTGTGGACGGCAGGCCCTTTCCTGAGAGTCGAGGACCGGGTCTTTCTTCTAGAGGGCAACGTCAGTTCATGGCCTCCCAGTGGTCTTGCAGAACAAAACTGCATTTCCACCTAATGTGCTTTCTTATTGAAACCTGTCTTCCCTACCTGTCTCCTTCACCTTGGATCACATCTCCATCACGTTTTGAAGGTTCTCACAGCCTTGCTGGCTCCCTCCCCACGTTGAACAAACATTTCTCCTAATATGTTACTTGCATGTTTAATTTTATCTTGTGTGTTTCTTGGAAGGCCAAGGCTAGCACAGGAGATGATTCTGGAAATGTGTTTGCAGATAAGAAATACTGAAATGATGGAAACTATTGATGGAGTAATTAGAATTTCTGCATTCTGAATACATACCATTTTCCTTGAGATTTACTGTCCCAACTTCAGCCTATGAAATAACCTCAGCCAGGCTGCAAACATGCTCTTAATTAGGCCCTTAAAATTTAATGACAATATCAAAAAAAAAAACTGTAGGTGAGAAGAAGGTTCAGCTACCCTCTACTTCATTATGACGAGGAATTCATGAAAATAAGTCTTAAACAATTACCATATGTAAACACTCAATAAGCAAATATTCTATTACAAGCAGACTTATATTACTTGTCTGCCTTGGTTTTACAGGGTTGTCATAGCAAAATACCAGAGATGAATGATTAAACGATAGGAATTTGTTTTCTCATAGTTTAAAGGCTGAAGCTAAACCATCTTGGTTGGTTTCTGGTGAGGGTCTTCTTCCCGGCTTGTACAGTAGCTCCCCTATCCTTAGAAGACAATCCAAGGCCCAAAGGGGATGCTGGACATTGTGAGAAGTTAGATGGAGGAGCTGAGCTCTGTGTTGTTTCCGTTAGAAGCCTGGAGAGTTCCCATAATCTGTTAGGAGCCTCGACTCAGGCCAAACAGAGAGTTATGGCTTTAATACAGAAAAGAATTTAAGAACCCATCAGTATGAAGCAGAACTGGAGATTTTATTCGATACTTTAATACAGTATGGGTATGATAGTGTACACCTTTAAACTCAAAACTCAGAAGGCAGAGGTAGGTAGATCTCTGTGAATTCTCGGCCAGCTTGGTCTACATAGCACATTCCAGAACAGCCAGGGCTTTATAGAAAAATCCTGTTTCAAAAAGAAAGAAAGGAAGGAAAAGAAGGGAGGAAGGGGGGGGGGAGAATTTTAATACAGGTTCTAAGCATGAGATGAGGGCTAAGAGAAAGAACTGATCAGAAAGAGCATATTTCATACTTAAATGTCAAGTGGGCTCAAGGGAGAGCTGCCATTGCTGTGTTAGTGTTAGATACGTGTTCCATTTTAGTGGCTTTCAGGTTACATCTTAGAGAGGTTATTAAGAGCTAGAGAGATGGCTCAGCAGTTAAGATCACTGGCTGTCATTCCAGAAGAGCTGGGTTCAGTTCCCAGGACCTACATGGTAGCTCAGAGCTCTCTGGAACTCCAGTTACCACCAGTTCTAGCCACCAAGGCACTGCATGTAAGTGGTACACAGGCATTCATGCAAATAAATCACCCATACCTAGTACGGGAGAATTGTCTATATTCTGTCAATTATGTTTTAAATAAACCCTGATTGGCCAGTAGCCAGGCAGGAAGTATAGGCGGGACAACCAGACAGGAAGTAGAGGTGGGGCAATGAGAACAGGAATATTCTGGGAAGAAGGAAGCTTCCTTCCCAGTCCTGTCCAGACACTGAAGAAGCAGGATGTGACCTGCCCCACTGAAAAAAGTACTGAACCATGTGGCTAACATAGATAAAAACAATGGGTTAATATAAGTTATAAGAGCTAATACGAAGTCTGAGCTAATGGGCCAATCAGTTTATAACTTATGTAGACCTATGTGTGATTTTCTTTGGGGGCTTACCGGCTGTGGGAACTGGTCAGGACATAAACCCCAACAAGCATGGGTATATGTTACATATACCCATGAGATAAATTTTTTTAAAAAGTTATTAAGCATGCTCACTTTGGCAGCACATATACGAAAACTGGAACAATACAGAGAAGACTAGCATGGTTCCTGCATAAGGATGACATGCAAATTCACGAAGTATTTAATATTTTTATACCCATAAGAGACCTGGTCCTTTCTAAAGAGAAACAGAAGAGGAGGGAGTTAGACATACAAAATGAAAGAAAGGTAAAAAAACCAAATGGTAAATGTAGATTAATAAAAACAGGTTAAGTTATAAGAGTTATAAATCAAGGCTAAGACTGAGCTTTCATAATTAAGTCTCTGTGTCAGTACTTGTGAGTTGGCAGCCCAAGGAAAAATCCGACTCAACCCTCTCAATTCACTCCTCTTCTGTTTTAAATATCATATTCTGTAGGTCTCCGAAGTGTTTAAAGGCCACCTATCTAGTTAAAATATATCTGTCTGATCTTGAAAAGACACCTAAATTAGACTGTTAGGATGACTAACTACTAACCTGTCTTTATTATCCTAAATAGCTTTCAAGAACTAGAAATCTACATTACATTTTAAAATGAGCTGCATAGGGACCATACCTTAAACACACACATATGTGTGTGTGTGTATTAACAAAAATAACCTTAAATTTATACCAACATACTGAAATCCATACCAATGCAAAATATTTGAGTCGAGTGGTTGTTCAAAAGTAACCAACCCTTTTATCGCATCATTTCTGCACTATATCCCTCCCCCTTTGCCCTTCAGAAAGAAATCCCTGACTCTTATCTCCTTTGTTCAGCTTTTTTCCTGGCCACACCAACAATCCGCCCCCAGAAACAATGATAAGCATCCACAATGCACTGAATGACCAAAAATCACCTACCCCACCTGTTGGGAATGTGGACATCATGTTCTGTAGATCGCTTCCTGTTGTCTGGGGGTGACAGCATCTTCAGGGGACCCTGAGAAAACTGTGATAATGGCCAAATCCTGGGAGAGCTAGCTGTATCTTTTGTTGTCCGTTCTCTGTGTAAGTGCAGTGCCTATCTGGAGTCTTGGGTGGAGTCGTACATAAGGCTGGACCATCTCAGCTCGCCACTTGGAAGTTGTTACGGATCCAGAATTTTGAGGAAACTGCAAGAGAGGCATCCTGAGAGGCTGGGTCACCTGGGCCACATGTCTTCATTGGTGTCTGGTCCTTTTGTTCTGAAAACACAAACTTTTAAAGGTAATATATATGTGTGTTATATATGTTATATATGTCATATATGTTATATATGTTAATGCAGATATATCTGCATTAACACAAATATGGTATGTGCGTTAAAGGCAACCTACATATCTGCAATAACACAAATATAGTATTGTGGCGTGTACAAGTCTGCTAAAGATTTTCTATTTTGTTTGATCCAGTAAAAGGTATCTGTCAACTTTAATTTAACCATTTTACTTTACATGAAAAAAAATAATTTATAAGCCAATTTGTTCCATGGAAACATACCCCACCACCAAAAAAAAAAAAAAAAAAAAAAAAATCAGGAGAAACATTGTTGTCTGCGAAAACAGGGCATGAAAATCAAACCAAACGCGGAAGAGTAAACGTTTTCCCTTCGGGGTCAGCAGCTCCAGCCGGCACGCGTCGCAGTCCCATCCACCGCATTGCATTAGAGACTTGGAAGGTGGGGACCCGCGACCCTCCGCAGGCTCCGCAGCCGGGCCGAGCGAGCGGGCGAGCGGGCGGGGGCCACCGAGCGCGGACCTCCCGCGCACCTCCCACGCGCCTAGAGCGGCAGCGGCGGACCGCGGGGCGGCGCATTTCCGGCCTCGCGTCTCTGCTCGTGCACCGCTGGGCCTCGGAGCCGGCCTGTGCCTCCCTCGCCTCCGGCGGGCCTCGGAGAGAGGGTGAGTGGGGCAGGACGCCCGAGGGGGGCGGGCGCAGAGGTCCCGGGAGCGCCAGAGGCGAGGACGCGCCGAGTGGTGCCCGGAGCTGGCCACAGGCCTGGCCACTCACTCTCAGGCCCACACAGCTCCTTCGTCTCCAGAATGATGGGCGGCGTCATCAACCCTCCTGCACCCCAGGCCTTGACACTGCCTTCCTGGAAACTGAGGAACGGCTGGGCTCCACTAGGAACCCAGGGGCTGTGGGAGGCCCCACGGGGAGCAGAGATTGTGATCTGCAGCCAGGCCCGCTCTGACAAGTGACAGCTTTGTCAAGGCTGAAATTACTACGCACGCTCTCGAACGTGGATGACAGTCTTGGGAAAGCCAGCAGCTGCTTTTTGTCCAAGAAGACAGGGACCAAATGTGGTTTGCTAGCATTTAATTCCTAATACCTAGAAAGATGCATGTCACCAAACCACCATTGCTTAAATAATTGCTGTTTGCCCACCTGACCTGCCGGGAGGGTTTGGATTATTGAGTCTAATTTTAAACTTGGTACTGGAGAAATTCTCAAGCATACATGGGGGAAAAAAAAATCCCAATTCATGATCAAGCTTGTTTCACCCTCTTTCCCACAGTTGTTTTAACGCCATTCTGAAATGTACCCATTCCATCTGCTAAATGCTTGTCGATAAGCATTTATGTTTCTGTAACATAAAGCCATCATCCATCTAGTGAGCATTTCATACCATCATCTATTATCCAATTAGTGTTTACATTCTCCCTCTTGTCTCTTCCCTTGCCAGTTTGTCCAAATCAGGAGCCAAACAAGCTGCATATTATTACAGAGATTTCTTCCATCTCTTTCGCTCTCCTAATCCCCTCTCTTTTTTCCCCTGTATTGTACTAGCTGGAAAAAAAAGCCACGTGTCCTATGTGTATTTTCCTACCACCTGCATATTGTCATATATATAATATTGTCATATATATGTGTGTGTGTATATATATATCCATGGAATTCCTTAGTAAAGTGGTATTTAGCCTATTCTGGTTCTGGTTCTATTTTCGGCAAGAAAACCTCCTGGAGGCCTACCGTTCATTGAGACTTAGATAAGATCTGGCCTCTCTTCAAGGATCTTTAATTTGTAAAGCGCACCTCAGGGTAAGCAGATAATTGAGTAAGGAACAACTAAGGGCTACTCACCTTGAGGCAACCCCTAATGACGTAATGGATCTTGCCAGTGACCATCTGTAGACGTTAACAGCAGAAAAGGAGGCATTTCTAACATGTGTCAGTCCTGTTGGGAGCCCCTCCTACCCAGCTGGGTTGGAGAGGAATCCAGGCTGCCCAGGAGAATTTGAAGCTCCATGAATACTCTGTGGCAATGTATTGAACTGACATGTCTAATTCTGTGTGTGTTTCAGATCTCTCCTTTTCTTTTTGTCTCAAGATAGGGTTTCTCTAGGCCAGGTTGACCTCGAACTCTAAATCTCTCTACTTAAGCCTCTCGTCCTGCTAGGGTCCAAGGTGTTCACCAACACACCCAGTTGGAATTTGTGTTGATGTGTAGGCACACGTTTACACACGTGTGTGCCAGTGCATGTGGAGGCCAGAAGTCAATGTTGCATGTCTTCTAGATCACTCTCTACCTTAGTTTTTTTGAGGTAGACTAAGGTCTTTCCCTCACAGGTCGTCTAGACTGGCTGGCCAGTGAGTTCCAGGGATATGCTTGTCTGCGTCCCCAGCCCTGCGGTTACAGACACTCCTGCCAGACCAAGGGTTTTTATGTGGGTGCTGGGGATCTGTACGCAGACCTCATGCTGTGTGTCTGGCACTGTACTTGGCTGAGATATTTCTCTAGCCTCTGAAAAGTTTCAACTTGGGTTTGTTCATGTTCTTTTGAGATAAGTCCTTACTGTGTAGCCTTAGGTGGCCTAGAGCTTGCTATGTAGACCATTTAGAGAGAGAGCTGCCTGCCTCTCTTCTGAGAACTGGTATTAAAGGCATGTGCCACCATGCCCCACCTGAATATTTTTTTAATAAACCACATTTTAATGTTGACTGATGATTTCAGGCTGTGATCCTTGAGCTACAGTTTTCTACCAAGGCGTTCTTGTTTGTTTGTTTCCTGGGCTACTCTGTATCTCTTGTAGCTCAGTCTGACCTTAAAGTTGCTATGTAGCTGAAGCTGGGGATTTTGGTCTCCCAGATCCTCTTAGCTCCACCGTCTGAGTGCTTGGATCACAGGTGTGCACCACCTAGCCTGCTTCACTAAATACTTCTAAGCGTGATTTGGTATTAGAATTCTGGGGAACAGCCCTTCTACCCTCTTAAAAACAGTGCTAATCAAGTGCCTTAGAGAATTTCCTGGTTAATTGTTCTGGGATGGGCCCAAACATGGGTGTTTAACAGCTCCCTGAGTAATTATGATGTGCTTTTAGTTTTCCAACCCCTTGTCTAGATCTATTCTTTGTTAGGGATTGCAAACCGATTATGTAAAGTAGGGATAGGAGCCGCAGATAGGAGATTAGGAAACACTGCTTGGGCATGAAAATGCCCATCCCCGAGAGCCCTGAATGGAGACTCTTCTTAGTTTTGATATTTGGATTCAGCTAAATTCACATGTACATATCATCTGGCTTTTGATTCATCTTTTTCTATAAACTCTAACACTGCTCTTGGTAAGGAGGAGACACACTGGAACTTCTCTTTGCACAGTTCTGGCCAGAACTAAAGAAACTCTTCCTTCCATCAGTTCTGTCCCCCAGTTTCTCAGTGGCAAACAACATGAACGCCAGCAACAGCACCCTGTTCTTCCTTCTGCGTTTAACTTAGCTTTCTCCGTTATCCCTCCACTTCCTGAAAAGTGCGGTGCAACAAGGAAGGGATGCAGTAAGCCTGCAGACACTAAATTACTTAGTTGTCAAAAGGTGAGCTTGGTCTTAGAGGTAAAAATGCAGAGTAACTCATGGAAGGGATGCTAACAGTAACCTTAATGCTTGGGTGTAGATAACCACTTTCAAATTCATGACCTCTTCCTTAGTTTCTACTGTTCCACACAGATATTCTACTGAATCCATTTAGTGTTGCTCATGTGTGCATATGTTTAGGGCTGACCAGCTGGGATTGGATAACTAGGGAGTGGAGGAAGCCCTGAGTGAATGTGTGCTGTTGACATGGACACAGCCATGTCATGGACCCCAGCCTCAGACCCATGGGAAAAAGGCAAAGCCTATGCCTTCTCACCCAGGGTCCCACTCAGAGGGGTGGCAAAGCCTGCCTGGGGAGTGTTGACAATGTGTGCAGAAGATGTCCACCTTAGCACCTGCTCCTCTACAGAGACTGCTTCTGCTGACGTTAGCTAGCCCTGCCTTCCTGTTTAATAGTAGCCCTGCCTCCTTATTCAGCTATGTGCAGTAGTCCTCTCTGTTCAACTCTCTAGAATAAAAGTGCTGAGCTTCTGGGATGTTGGGTTGGTCCATCAGATAGCCCAGCCCATCCAACTCCAGCTGTCTGTGTATGTCTGTGTTTTCTTCCTTCTCTTGCCACCACAGTCACGTCTGTCCCTGGATCCGTGCAGGACACAGCAGACAACCTGTCATGTGACTAGCTGGGTGGACACAGCACATAACCTGTCATGTGACTGGCTGGGTGGACACAGCAGATAACCTGACATGTGACTGACTGGTCTCTGGAAAAAAAACTGATTCTCCCTCCCTAAGCACCCTTTGATTGTAGCTCTTCCTGTAGGGGTGGCACCTTTTGAAATTTCCACTCTCCAGGTGGTCACATGGACTGGTATTATCATTTGCAGCCCATGCCTAGGCAGCCATGCTGTTGAGACTTGACGTGTGTTGCTTCCCGGTCATATTTAGAAGGCACTGTCTAGCAGCAGGAATCCTGATCATCTGGCCCTTACAAATCTTTCTGCTGCTTCTTAGATTTGCCTTAGCCTGAGATTTTGTGGATGTTTACCTTTTTTTCCTGTCATTTGACCGAGTTTTTGATACACAGATGTTACAAAATGCTGTAACATTGTTTTTAAATTTCAGAGCTTCTTGCCTGTGCAGGAAAGACTTTTCTACTTCCCAAGTTAAGTATTCTTCTGCTCCCTCACCCCCACCCCAGTGCTGGGGCTGGAACCAGAGCTTCTTCCACATGAGGCAAAGGCTCACCTATTGAACTATATCCCCAGCACCCTCCTAATTTTAAAGCATATCCAACTCATGTGGAACTGGTCATTCATAAGTTTCAGTTGGCCCTCATATATTGTGTGTGACACATCCCATCACAGTCAGAGATGAAAGGTGGCACGGTGCCTAGATCTAGTGAGAACAGTGCCAGGAGCAGGCAGAAATCTACATCCACTGGGTCGCAGATCACCGAGAAGAGTAGCTAGAGTCCCGGCTAGAGGCACACTTGCGGCAGCTCCTCTGTGCACCAAGCCCTGTGCTTGAGCCTCAGGACTTGGGGTAGAAGGCAAAGGTGTGCTCTAAACCGACCATGAACTCTGTCCTTGAGGGAAGGACACCATCCGCACTGCTGCGAAAAATCTGCAGGTGTCCCCCATCTTCCCGGGAAAGGGCTGGTCTCCACGGCCGCCACTCGGTGAGCAGGGTCAAATACTATCCCTTGTTCAGAACCTTAGCCAGATCCAAGTTTTATTAGGACTTAAAAAACATGAACTAGTACAAGTATGGCGCCTTCTCATAGGCCTTCTCACCCTCTACTCCACACTTCTCTACTAACATGAGTCTGGTAAGTTCATGAGCCAGTATAGTCAATTATTAACAAATGTTATTTGAATTTTTGTGTTGTGCAGTGTGTGCACTGATACATAACAACATTTCTTTGTCTGTATATGTGGTACTGGGGTCAAATTCAGAGCTTTATACATACTCTACTCCAGTTACATCCCTATTTCCAATATAACGACATTGCTGACTTGATTGCATCATATAGAATGGTTTTGTTTCCTTAGAAATGCGTGTCCCCTATTAATCCTTTCACTGGTATCACCAGCAAACCCCCATTATTTTACTGTCTCTGTAGTTTGTCTTTTTGAAATTATCATAGGGTTGGAATTCAACTACAGTGTTTTACTAAGAGTACCAAGTACCAAGCCCAGAGCCTAGTACATGCCAGGCAAGAACTCTACCATTGAACTCTTCAACTATAGGTTTTTAAAAAATATATATTTATTGATTTATTTGTGTATGGAGGGAGTGTGGAGGTAAGAGGACAACTAGGAACAGGTTCCCTCCACCATGTGGATTCCAGGGGTCATACTCAGTTTGTCAGATGTAGTGGCAAGTGGCTTAACTTTAGTGCTTTGTGTGTGTGCGCACACATGCATGTGCACGTGTGTCTGCAGTTGTATTAGGTTTGATGGCTTGTAGTTTCAGCCAGTTAAGATATAATTAGAACTGGGGGTATAGCTCAGTGTTAGAGTACCAGCACCATCTTAAACCACCAAACAAATCATTTTAGCCAGAGAATGAATAGGGGTCGAAGGGATAGCTCCACGGAGAACTCATGTTCAGCCAGTGTGGAGATCTAGGTCCAGTTCCCACACCAAAATCTACTAATCAGTCAGTCAGTCAGTAAAGCTCAAAGGAATGTGTCTTGGTGCAGTAATTTTTTAAAAATAACCCCCAGGTAATATTTCTGTTGCAGGTTGAAAGATGTCTATGGATGTGACCTTTCTTGGGACAGGAGCAGCATACCCATCCCCAACCCGGGGTGCCTCCGCTGTGGTTCTTCGGTGTGAGGGCGAGTGCTGGCTCTTTGACTGTGGGGAGGGAACACAGACTCAGCTTATGAAAAGCCAACTTAAAGCAGGTTAGTGTGCACCCAGCTTTCTTGGATTGTCTTTGGTTGTGTTTCATGTCTTGGCTCTCAGGGAACCTCTTGTTGTGTAACAGCCCTGAAGTAGCATCCACTTCAGAGCTAGGGCTCTGTCTGGCAAGACTTGGAAGAGCATCCGGCATCCAGCAATGCCTGCTGAATGTCATATATGCCTTTACTTGCTTCTCACTCATCCTGCAAGTGTTGAGAGAAGGGTTAATGAAGGCCTGAGCATGCAGGATAGTGAGAGACACAAGAGGTGTAGCAGATGAACCCTGCCCTAACAGAGGGCTGGTAACCAAACTGGCCTCCTGCAGGAGACAGCATTATGGGAGAATGCAAAGGGCAGGCAGTCAATGGACAGACGGAGGATGCTCCCTTACTATCATGGTAGCCATCTCAGACAAGTTTATCTATGAATTGCTGAGAGAGGAAAACTCCCTGGCCTGGGGAGAATGGAAGTCCAGCTTGAGGGAATGGAATAGTAAGCCCAGACCAGCACCTGGAGCAGAGTATCCCAGTGGTGAAAGCTCTCAGCCTGGAAACAGCAGACCTGGGTGTTAGGCCCAGTTGTATTTCTGGTTTGACCTTAGCAGAGCAGAGGGCTTAATCAGAACAGGGATACGAACTGCCTGAAAGAAATGCTATAAACCGGGTGTGTGGCACTTGCTTGGAATCCTAGAACTCAGGAGGATAGCCTGAGCTACACAGTGAGCCCTTGTCTCAGAAAAAAATTAAAGGAATTATATATATTAAATAATTCATATCTTCCGTGGCTGCTTCTATCTCACCATTTAAATCTTTAAAAATAATTCTAATAACTCATCAATTATCAGGTTTTCATCATTTAAATCTCTTCTCAAAGGCTATTTCCTCAGGGTTTCCTGAACCTCCTGGGTTAAGTACCTTCCCCCTACTCCAGTCATTCCTTTATTTTATAGACTTTATTAACTTCTTAGCATCATTAGTGTCTGGAACTATGCTATTTAAGTTGTTTTTGTGCTTGCACATTGATGTGGAGGTAGGTAGGTTTATTGACACTTGTGCGCTTGGTAAATGCCTAATAGGCTCCTGTTCATGGTGAACAGGTGGACATTTAGGGTCCCACTCTTGAGGTCTTGATAAATCATAGTTGTCACAGATCATCAGAGGGTGTGCACTTGGTCTTTAAAGAAATGTACTTCTAGTGTCCAGGGACCAGCAGCCATCAATCATGTAGATACAGGAAAAAAAGGGAGGTGTTTTTAAATACTTGCAGCATGAAAGAGGGAACACTAATTATGGTAGAATGTATGCTTAGTATATGTACCACCGTGTTCCAGTCCCCATTATTGAAACCAAAACCAACAAAGCAGAAGAAATGAGCATTAGGTGATTCCTAAAAGCATTACAACAGCACAGCGACAACACAAATGATAACATTGTACGTGGGTCCATTTGCAAGGCCCGGATTCAGCCCAAACTAAAAAAATTAATTATATATTTATATGCATGTGTGTGTGTGTGTGTGTGTGTGTGTGAGAGAGAGAGAGAGAGAGAGAGAGAGAGAGAGAGAGAGAGAGAGAGAGAGAGGGAGGGAGGGAGGGGGTGGAGGGAGAGGGAGAGAGAGAGAGAGAGAGAGAGAGAGAGAGAGAGAGAGAGAGAACTGGCAATTGAGTGCTCTACCACTGAGCCATATCCTAGTACTTTTTATTTTGAGGTAAGAATTTGCTGTTACCCATTGACTGTCCTTGAATTCACTGAGTAGTCAGGAAGGCCTTGAATTTGTGCTCTTCCTGATTCAACTTTCCCAGTAGTTGGAACAGTAGGCTTGTGGTACCAGGTCTGGCGTGTGTGTGTGTGTGTGTGTGTGTGTGTGTGTGTGAGCTGGAGCTGAAGGGAGGAAAGGAAGGAAGAAAACCATGTTGCTGAGGCTGCTCTAGTAGTATATTCCTGTTAACCCGGTACTTAGGTGGTAGAAGCGGGAGGATTAGGAGTTCATGGTTATCCTCTGTTTTTGTAAAGCCTGAGCTACATGAGACCTTGTTTCAAAGGAACAAAACTTCTTAATTATAACATTTTTGAATACATATTTTTATTGAAGAAGTTCAAATAAAACAAAACTAAAAGGTGTATGTAAATAAGAAAAGCCCAAGTCTTCCTCACATAGACACCCCACAAAACCTCTCTTTTCTTGGAGGCAGGGTTTCATGTAATCATGAGGCTTTGAGCTTGTTATGTAGCCCATGACTTTGATTATCAACCCTCCTGCCTTTTTTCCCCTGTGGTACTGGGGCTTGAACTCAGGACTTCATGAATGATAGACAAACACTCTCCCACAGCACCTACGTTCCTAGCTCCCACAGGAACATTCTATAACTACAGATGTGGTGATGGTGTGAATGTGTACAGAAGTGCATGTAATTTGCCTAATGGAGCCACACTTTACTCGACACTGACTACGTTCGATGTTTTCAGCTGAGCAGTGTATTTATCAATACTGTAGAACAGCAGATCTAATTGCACCGCATGTCCACCTAAGGATGCGCAGTGTTCTGCCTCTCTGTGGGCAGTGTTTCCCCACCTTCCTTCTGCTTAGGGGAAGGGAATCGGGTGTGATCTTCTCTCTTCATCTGTCGGCTTCCTCATGCCTTTCATAACTGTGGTTGCCATTCCTTGTCTCTCAGAAATCACATTTCCCAAAAATGAAATGCCTGGCCTTCTTGAAACTGATAACTGTGGGAAGCAGTTTTTCTCTTACTTTGTTTGCCACGCTTGTTCTGGGTTCCCAGGCTGTTTTGTGTTCAGCATTGGCTTTGTTTTGCAATAGATAGTGAGAAGACCTAGAAGGCCTGATGTTGGCACTTTTGAGGCCAACATGGGATCTGGATTCAGTAACTACTGTAGTTCTTTTGTTCCTAGAGTCCTTGGGTCATATTAAGAGACAGCCTGGAAAGGGAAAATAGGAAAATTAAGGACTATCCTTTCATTTGAAGTTTTTTTTAAAAAAGAAAAAGCAGTAAAATCTGAAGGCTAAAAGAGGCCCAGGAGTATAGCTCAGTGAGCACTTGCCAAGTATGTGTGTGGCACCCTAGACTCAAGCCCCAGTACCATACAAAATAGCTCTGAGCCAGCTATTGTTCTAGGCCACTGCAGCCTAGGCAGCCTAGGCGTAGTCCTTCTGGGAAGTCTTGCTTTGAGAGCATTTGCTGTCAGAACCAATCCCAGTGTGATAAACTGTTCCTGCTCTTTTATGGTATCAATAAACTGCTCCTGTACTTTTATGGCATCATATACCTCAGATAGGTGGCCCTTGAGCCTGTTCTCCTGGAAATATGCTGTTTGTGATTGTTACTTTCAAAATGCCCATGGTACATCTCAGAAAATGCTGATGTGGCATCCTGCCATTTACCAGCAGTAAATTCAGTTTACCATTAGCTAAATCAAGTTATGACTAAGCCAGTGTGCACTGACAAAGCTGTTGTGTAGGTGCAGACTGGAAACAGGAGCTGGTCCCATGTGCCCTCATGTAGTATGATCAGGGATCTGCCTTCAGTCTGCAGCCTGGCATCTGGGGTTCATGACCCACCTCTTCTCTCACCTGTTCCTCTTCTAGTTAGCTTACTCTTCCTCCTTCTTCTTTCTTCCTCAGTCCTTGTCCTCTTTGTCCTTCCTCCACATCCTCACTGGGACACATAGTTCAGTCTTCATTGGTGACCCTATCCAGGGAGGAGACCTTAAAAGGCAGTTTTGGGGTTAGGATTGATGCAGTCAGTTAGAACCATAGAACATTCCACTTTGCTGTTGGTATGTCTCAGAGGACTGACAGCGGACGGTGTAGCTGAAAGATACTTTGACACTTGAGGCCTAGTTAGTTATCTTGATGAACTTTTTTTTCTAAAGTGAACAGTTGACCTACAAGTGTTTTGTTTTTGAGATTTATTTATTTATTACATATACAACATTCTGCCTCCATGTATGTTTGCACACCAGAAGAGGGCACCAGATCTCATTATAGATGGTTGTGAGCCACAATGTGGTTACTGAGAATTGAACTCAGAACCTCTGAAAGGGCAGTCAGTGCTCCTTACCTCTGAGACATCTCTCCAGACCTCTTGATGAACTTTTATATTTCACTTTGGAAAATAAGGATATGTAGAAAAACACTTGGAAAGCTGTAAAGCATTGTAATTTGAATATTTTCATAGAAAAAATAATATCCTGTTTAAACCATCTGGTGGAACTGGGCCTGGTAGTTTAGACCTATGATCCTATCACTTGGGAGGCTAAGGCAGGAGAATTGCCACAAGTTCAAGGCTGCCTGGATTACGTGGTGAGTTCCATGTTAGCATTGGCTACAGAGTGAGATCTTGTCTCAGAAATCAACCAAGTAGTGCTGGGTAGATGTCTCAAGGGTAAGAGTGCTTGCTGTCCAGCTCGAGGTCCCCACATCTGTGTAAAGAGCTGGGCATGTCTGGTGCCTTTAACCCCAGCATTAGTGGGTAGTCAGGGAAGCAGAGCCTGGGAACTCACTGATCATCCAGCCTGGTCAAAATGGTGAGCTTCTGGTTTGTAAGAGAGCCTGTCTTTTTTTGTTTGTTTGTTTTTCGAGACAGGGTTTCTCTGTGATTTTGGAGCCTGTCCTGGAACTAGCTCTTGTAGACCAGGCTGGTCTCGAACTCACAGAGATCCGCCTGCCTCTGCCTCCCGAGTGCTGGGATTAAAGGCGTGCGCCACCACCGCCCGGCTGAGAGCCTGTCTTAAGATGAAAGTAGGGAGCAGTAGAAGAAGTCACCCAAAAACCTCCTCTGGTCTCTACATGCATGTATAGCTACATATTCATGTGCACAGACTACACACAACACCACATGCACACCCACAAACATACAGAAAACATACAGAAAACCAACCAACCAACAAGACCATAGAGCATCATAAAACCTATCTCTCTTTTTCTGGAGTCACGCAGCAAGATGAAAGGAATGAGTAAGTGGATGGTAACATACAGAACGTCCAATTTCAGCCTACTGCTTTTTACGTAAGTTCTTAGGCTTGTTTTAAACTGCTTTGTCTGTGGAACTGAGGGTGTTCCTTAGTGGCAGCGCAGTGGCAGAGCAACTGCTCTGTGTGCACAAGGCAAACATCCAGCTTCACGCTGAAGGCTGGGGATGTTGAGTCAAATAGTTTTGTTTTGTTTTTTTATTTCTGAAAATTATCCTAATACTTTTCTCTGTCTCAATCAAAAGGGAGAATTACCAAGATCTTCATCACACATCTTCATGGGGACCACTTCTTCGGCCTCCCGGGCCTCCTCTGCACGATCAGCCTGCAGAGCGGCTCTGTGGTCACACGGCAGCCTATTGAGATCTACGGCCCTGTAGGGCTTCGGGACTTCATCTGGAGAACCATGGAGCTCTCCCACACAGAGCTGGTTTTTCCTTATGTGGTCCATGAGATAGTGCCTACAGCTGACCAGTGTCCTGTGGAGGAACTAAAAGGATTTTCACATGTGAACGAAGCAGACGGCCCTCCCAAAGGACAGGGACGAACTATCTTGTTAAACACAGAAGAAAACTCCTACTGTCTGGTTGATGATGAGCAGTTTGTTGTAAAAGCATTTCGCCTCTTTCACAGAATTCCATCCTTTGGCTTTTCAGTTGTGGAAAAGAAACGTGCAGGTAAACTCAATGCACAGAAGCTGAAAGACCTCGGTAAGTTTGCCTTTCCCTCTTTATCTGAGCTGTCTTACCGGAAGCCACTGGGAGTGCCAGGGTAGCCTGTTTCCTGTGTGGTCAGAGTAAGCACTCACTTCCTTTGCCCAAAATTTGCTTATTAAGGAAAATCTTTGGTGTCTAAAGATACTATTCAGAACAGAACTAGAATATTTAATATGTATGAATCTTTTCTCGTTAGTTTCCTGGATTCACATTCTTTTCTCTTCCTTTTTGGCTGCACTGGTGATTGAATCTAGGACACAAGCTAAACAAGCACTGAGCTCTATCTCCAACTTGTTTATTATTTTTGACCTGAGCCAGGGTTTCACTAAGTTGCTCATGGTGGCTTTGAATGTGAGATCATTCTGAGAAGCTGGGATACAGCCTGTATGACCAGGCCCAGCTCTGACTTGGTTGGCAAGGTGGTTTGAATTGGGTTGGTAAGTCCATGATTTATTTTTATTTCCTTGTGCTTTCCTTTTTGTTTTATTTTGGTCATACTAGGGTTCAAGCCCATGTGCTCTGCCACTAACCTATACTTGTAATCTTTATGTTTTATTTTTGAAGTTGTATTTTCATTTTTTAAATCTGTTTCTATTTTTATTCTTGTTTGATACAGGATTTTCACTCTGTAGCCCAGCCTGGCCTACAACTCACTATGTAGCTCAAATTCAAACTCATGATCCTCCAGCCTCTGCCTCAAGATTGTTTGGAATTGGAAGTGTGCACAGTCCTCAGGTATGTTTTTGATGACGTCTTTGTGTGAGGTGTGTGAGCTGTGTGTGTGTGTGTGTACTCTCATCCATGCATGTGCATGCAGAGGTCAGAGGTCAACATGAAGAGTCCTCAATTACTGCCCACCTTTTTGATGCAGGCTCTCTCACTGCACCTAGAGCTCATTATTTTGGCTAGATTGGCTACCCAGCGAGACCTTGGTGCTAAGGTTGCACCTGGCTTTTACATGGGTGCTGGGATCTGAGCTCACGTCCTCCGCGCACTTTACCCACTGAGGCATCTCCGTGGCCCTTCAGTGCCGTCTTTAGTGCAAGGACTTCCTTTCTGTCTACCTTGCCTACTGACTGAATTAATTTGACGTTCAGGGCCTTGCACCTTAACTAGTCCTACATATCCCATAGTCACCATCGTGGGAAGGAAACACACAAAGATGAAGAAGTTGTCTTTTCTCCTTGTGAGGCCATGATGCACAAGTGAGGAGACCCTAAGAAATGGAGATCAGGCCCATCCTGTGCCCAGCCTTACCACTACACCTGGTATCACACCTGTTGAAAGAACGATAGTGAGTCATCTAAATTTTAGTTACCTTCCCCAACTGAAATAATATACTAGATAATGAGGAAAGTGATGTAGGTCAAAGGTATTCTTGTCATGTAAATTCTGTGTAAATAGTTATATTTGGAAACTTTAAACATGATCACTGTTGGAAATATTGACCGTATATTTGTTTGTAAGTGTTAACCTCTGTGTTAGTCTGTATTAAATAACACTGAAGCTTGAAATCTGGAACTACTACCATCTACCAAGAAGATTAATCATATATAATTGCCTGAAATACCCCATGACCTTATTTTTGGTGGTTTTGCTTGGTGTGTGTGTGTGCATGTGTGTTTGCCGTGGTGTGCAGGCAGGGCTCAGAGGATAACTTTTGGGAGTCGATTCTCTCCTTCCACCGTGTGGGTCTCAGGAAACAAACTGAGGTCATTAGGCTTGGCTGGAAAGGTCCCTGGCTCACACTTAGGATCCCAGTAGTCCTCTCTACCAAGTTTCTTATTCAGTTAGTCTGTTGTTTGCAGATACTTATTCTGACTGGAGATATTGATTATATGATTATTTAGATGCACTCTTTGATGTTGTAGTAAATAAAGGATCCCCAAACTGTTATTCTCATGCAAAGCAGAAAATCAGAGCTGGTATCGCGAGTATAGTAAGGCCTAAGTGATACTTCAGAGCTTAAAAGTCAACTCACACATGTGCTAGGAAAAGCGTAAAGCCATTGTTAATAGCAACACTGAACTTTTAAAATGTTTAAACGTCCCAGTTGTCTACTAGTAGGAGAGCATCTCTTGCAGTTTTGGAAATGATCAGATGTCTTTAACTTTTAAATTTTATGTGTATGGATGTTTTGTGTGTATTATGTATGTACCATATACCTGTCTGCCATCCTCAGAGGCCCTGGTACTGGAGGTACAGACATATGTGAACTGTCAAGTGGGTGCTAGGAATTGACTTCAGGTCCTTTGGAAGGGCAACAAATGCTCTTAACTGCATCCAGACCCCTCGGTGCCTTTGCTGTTTGCTGTGCTGTTAAAGCTGTTTCTTTACAAATCCTCATTCCATGTCCCTGATGTAAGGTTATCTGTTTCTGCATCATCAGGTGTGCCCCCAGGTCCTGCCTATGGGAAGCTAAAAAATGGAATTTCAGTAGTTTTGGATAATGGAGTTACAATTTCTCCCCAAGATGTCTTAAAAAAGCCTATGGTTGGAAGAAAAGTCTGCATATTGGGTGACTGTTGCGGAGTTGTGGGTGATGGAGGCGTGAAGCTGTGCTTTGAAGCAGACCTGTTGATCCACGAGGCAACTCTGGATGATTCTCAGATGGACAAAGCAAAAGAGCACGGCCACAGCACACCCCAGATGGCAGCGACATTCGCGAAGCTGTGCCGTGCGAAGAGACTGGTCCTGACTCACTTCAGCCAGCGGTACAAACCGATTGCTTTGGCTAGAGAAGGAGAGACAGATGGCATTGCAGAGCTGAAAAGGCAAGCTGAGTCAGTGTTAGATCTCCAAGAAGTGACGCTGGCGGAAGACTTTATGGTGATTGGCATTCCCATCAAGAAATGAGAGCGGTGCTCCAGAAGGCAGACATGGACGTGCTGTGGCTGGTTCCCAGACCTGCACTGCAGGCTTTTATTGTTGGTCGTGAGTGATTTTCTTTTCTTTATGTTTTGGATTTTTTTCCTTAAAATTATTTTGTCCCTAGTAATCCTTAAGATGGAGCTGGGTTGCTGAGCTGACTCAGTAGTGAGAGGGAACAATAAATCATTTTTTAAATGATAAAAATACCCAGCATCCTTCTTAAAGTGCAGATGGGATAAAATCATCGATTTTTCAGGGGTATTGCTCTTGTGTCTCTCGCCACAGATAGAAGCCAGTTCTCCACACAGTGTTGGAGTTAGCTCTGCCCAGTTTAACTGCCGTTATTGGCAGTGTCTAGGACTGGGCCCTCTTGTTTACAAAATGATATTTTGTCAGTTTGTATAGAACTTGTCCTAAGATGGAAATAAATGTAGAGGCCATCTTGATGGTAACGTGGGAGTTCACTGGAACAGTCAGTGCAGCTGGGACTAGCGTTTAGCTTAACATTTTATTCAACATCCCGGTTTCTTTCAGCACATGGTCCTGGGTTGTCGCAGTGACTGAGGAAGATGGTGGCTCCACAGCAGTTCAGTCAGTGGGGGTCAGGAATGCCGTGTGTTATTCACAGTTCTGCATAGCAATTGCCTTGATATTCTAGGTCTGTTTGGAGACACGAAACTTTACTCCCAATGTGAATACACTTTGCCAAAATTGGTGATGTAATGGATTGATTTAATAGACAGGCTGGATCTTCCAATAGATGGTAAAGGATGAGTATGTTGAATGAAAATGCCACATCAAGTATTATTTGGAAAAAATGAGTCATCGAGTGAAGCTTGTAACTGTGGGGAGAAGTATCCACAAATCCCCCACCTGAGGAGAGGATCTCCTTCCGGGCCAGCGGCCCTGGAGCTGGGCTGTGAGCTGAATGTGCAGGTGGATCCATGGACGAAGTCAGGAGTCAGAGTGGACCCTCTGCTGCATCACTGAGCTGCCTAGGTGACTCTGGAAGACACGAGTGCTGGACTAGCCTCGGAGAAAAAGGCTGCTTTTTTCTAAGTGCTTAAATTGAGGGTATATATATAGAGAGATATTTTATAGATTCTTATACATATGTTTGCGTATGTGCATAGTTTATTCATGCATATTTTTACGTGAAGGCTGGTCTTCCTCCACTATTTTCTTAAATAAAGATATTTTATTGGACAAACAAAAACTAGGAGTTTATTATCAAAAAATCCTCTGTAAGAAACTCTGAGGCATTATTTTTGGCAGAATAAAAATAATGAAAGCCATAAAGGGGCAAGTAGCTGAGTGATGTAGAGAAACACTGACTGTAGGACTTCAAAATAAAGCGCTGGCTAACGACAAGTCTTTAACTACTCTTCTCATGAGCATTTCCTGTAGCATCAAGTGGTCTCTGAAAGTATGAGCTTAGTGATTTTATTTCATTTTAGAGTTGTGTCTTGGAGCACTGAGATTGTTTTCTGTTAGTAGAAATAAAGCTGACACGGGGTCTTTATGTATCTCCAAGTCATTCCTTCTTTCTAGTTGATCTCTCTGTTGGGTATGGTGGCACAAGCCTGTTTCATTTGCATTTGTGAGGGTAAGGCAGGAGAATTCAAAATCCAGGAGAGCCTGGCTTACATAGTAAGACTTTAATCTAAAAAAAATTAAAAAAGAAAGAAAGAAAAGGGACAGAAATACATCTGACTTATAACATATATTTTAATATTCATTCATGTTCCTAAGCCCACACAGGAATGGCCTGTTTTATTAGTCTATTGAAAATACAACTTCATCAATTTAAAAACCCTCTCTCAAGTCCCACCCTCTTCCTGTCTTCTCTCTCCTTTTTTAATGAGTCTCACTGTGTCCTCCTGCTTGAGAGCTGGCGTTATTAAGTATGCATTTGTAATCTGACCATAATGTTTTGAATATTTCTTTACTAAGGTTTGTAATTTTTAGGCTGCGAGTGTAGCTTGATGGTTAGAATACTTGCATAGAATGTCTGAGGCACTGGGTTTGATTCTGTAGTATGAAAAGGAAAGAAGATTTTTGCCTCCCAGTGCAAATACCGTTATTATGCCTTTAAGTTAATACATATAATTCAACTCTTATTTCTATGCATATTCTGATGCCAGCTTGAAATTTTGCTACTTTTCCCTTTATTAATGAAATATAAATCCTTCTTCAGTGTGTTTGTCACAGATAGACAGAGGTGTATGTTCATAGTGAAGTGTACTAGATCTGTCACTGGCAGATTTGAGGGCTGATGGACTAAGGAAGTAATCAGTGGGAGCATTGCCACCCCATCTTTCTCCTTTTTTTTTTCCTTTGAGATGGGGCCTTATGTAGCCCAGGCTAACCTTGAACTTGCTATGTAGCCAAGGATGACCTCGAGCTTCTGATGTTTCTGCTTCCACCTTCCAGAATGCAGGGGTAACAGTCAGATGCCATCATACCAGGCTTGTGTGGTACTGGGGATCAAACCCAGGACTTTGTGTCTGCAAAGTAAATACCCTACCAACTGAGCTACATCCTAAAGCCCAAATACATGGAGTTTTTATTTATTTTGGTTTTTTTAGGGGAATATTAAAAGGAAACACTGGTTGTGACTTTATTCTCTCTTGACAGAGAAGAGCTAAGTTTAAGGAAGTGCTATGGGTTTATAGTGTGTGATTTTTCTTCTCTTCCTTCAGTGTGCAAAAATGAAAAACAACTATTTAAGGATATCATGTTTTAAAAAGCAAGAGAAGTGTCTGCAAATACAGCTTGGGTAGAAAGTGGTTAGCCTGAATAAGGTATTGGGTTTGATTCCTAGTGCCCCCACTTGTCCACCTCCCTGAAGAAAAACAAGGGGAGGGAATATAAATGGTTAAAAGTATAAGAATTATGAAAATGTGATAAATACACTGTTTTGTATAATTAGTATGTGCTAATAACTTTCTAAGTGGAGAAAGCTGCCGTGGCAGAGGGGCAGGAAGTCTGGGGAGCAAAGACCACTTTTGTTGTTGACTTTTGAGTCACCAGTACGAAGGATGTTATGGCTGTTTGTATGTATATATCCATTTAGTATAGCATTGAATCACAGCACCCATAGAGATAAACCACTTCTCTGAATTATTAGCCGTCCCCACACGGGCACTCCAGAGCTGACAGTTCAGCTCCAGTCCTTGTAATGTTCCTGTTTGTCATCTGTACTGTAGCTAGAGGAGTGGTTTTTCCCCCAAAATGTAAAGTTTTGCCATCTCTCCCTAACGTAAAACTTCGTAGTGGTCTGGTTCACTCATTTCTCTCTAACTTAATCTCACTTCTCAGTGCTACTCAAGTTTGCAGCCCCAGCCATGTGGGCCTCCTCTCCGTCCTCCACCAAGGCTTCTGGTGTTCCAGAGCCTTCCTGTGGCGTGCTTCCTTCACCTGAAATGTCGTTGCTGACTGACCCCAAATCAACCTAGAGAACCTGCAGGCCACAGCTCTGCAGCCTCATGGACTTGGCCTGCCCAGCTCCCGTGAGGTGGTGTGTGTGTTTTTCCCAGCGCCTACCCCATCTTCCCGCACTTGTCACAGCTTCGCTTCACCTCTGTATGTGATGTTTCTCACACCAGCTCTGTAAGCCACACAAGGGCAGAGCTCTGCTTCTGTTCCCCTTTATGACTGACTAACTCAGTGCCGAGAACATCAAAGGCACTCAATAAATAGTGTTGACTGGATCAAATGTTCTTGTCCTGTTATTTTGTTAGTGTTTAGTACTGTGTTATCCAATGGATTTCCCCCCCTGATTCGTGTTAAACACACACAATGCACAGACCAAGTCTCTGACACGGAGGAGGAGGAACAGAACTCTTGCTTGGTGTTAGTGGGCAAATCCTTACAAATAATATTCTGAAACTCTAGTTTGGTGTTTTAAAATATGCAGGCAAAACTCTAGAGTCAGGGGGAAGAGTTTAGAGAAAGATTTTATCTACTTAAGTTGGGTACCAGCTTTGGCTGTGTAAGGATGTTGGAGCAAAGCGAGAAAGGAGCAGGAGGCTGAGCCTTAGGCAGTAGTCTGCAGATTTACACATGTAGAAAATGGCATGGGAACCTTCTTCAACTTTTTTTTTTATGTTTTTTCAAGACAAGGTTTCTCTAGCTCTCCAAGAACTTGCTTTGTAGACCAGGCTGACCTTGAACTCACAGAGATCGCCAGCCTCTGCCTCCCAAGTGCTGAGATTAAAGGTGTGCACCACCCTTGCCCCTCTTTATTCAACTTTTTTTTTCTAAAGGAAATAAGAAAATAGTTTATTCTGAGCCAATTAAGAGAAGCTGTGACCTGATGCTGATACAGGTTACCTTGAATGATGTGTTTTATTACTGGCCTTGTGGCCCGGAAGTGAGTCACTGCTTAGTCCTAAACAAGGAGGTCGGTGAGGTCCATGCTTAGAGGAGTCTTTCTGTGTTGTGTGCTACACAACACTAATGGAGAACAAGGCCTGAATCCTATGACAGTCTCCTGTGGGGAAGGGGGACAGCAACAGGCAGACAGCGGACAATCCCTCATGGGGAACGGTTCCAGACGCTGTAGTCAGAGGTGACCACAGAACTGCCTCCAAGAAATGACCAGAAGCCTAGGAGGAACAGACTGTTACAGAGCCATTTTCAGTCACATTTAAAGGGCAAGGTGACTCTAATTGACACCTAGACTCAGTTCTGTGTTCTTGATGCATTCTGAGGGTTGGATAAGACTGTCCTTATTATCCTGATTAATAAGGAAGTTGGGGTGCCTAAGTTTACCCAAAGCAAAAAAAAAAAATTCCCCTAAATAAAGCTAGCTGAGAAGCCCTGCTCAGATGTCAGCCTGCTAATTATATACTCAGCAGACATGGCAGGTACAAAGATTAAATTCACCCACAAAAAAAAAAAAAAAGTGTAAGGGAAAAGCGAGGGATCAGGTTTTTCAGCAGTATAAATCTCCGTAGCTGCCAGGGCTGTTCAGACAGCACAAGCAGAACTAAGCAGCATTTAGTTCTGTGTCACCCAGGGAAACAAGGTCATCGTGTCCAGGTTTCCTACATTGTTGTGACTTCCAGAGATGATGAGTTAGTCTGATTCTCTCTCTTTCCCACGTCTGGACTGGAACTGACCTTCCCAATGTCCAGGTCTGGGCCAGCAACCCAACGGCTAACCCTCGCCACCTCAGGACTTCGCTACACAGCTAGCAGGACTAGAGCACAGTCCCTTTCTCCTGCCTAGCCTGTGAGGCAGCGTCACCTAGGACAACAGTCTTGGAACTAGCTGACTTTCCTGAGATGTATGGGCTTCTTTTTTATGAAACACTTCTAGCATTCCTGAAACCTAGGAGAGCCAGTGTCACGCTAGTGCTCCAGGGTGACGTCAGCATGAAGACCCTCCAAGTTACCGAAGACAAGGAAGATAAGCCTCAAATGCTAAATGATTGGCTAACACATTCTTTCACAGGTCTAGTTCCCAATTTGTTGTTTAGAAAAAACTGAGGGAGGATGTAATTTATCAACAGTATAAGGTGTGGGGGTTTTTTTTGTTTTGTTTTGTTTTTTCTTTTTGGTTGGTTAGTTGGTTTTGCTTTTGCTGGGTATTAAACTCGTGACATTTTAAAGATAAACAACTTTATTGAGCTCGAATTCACATAGTTTACAATTCAGTGTGCAACTATCACTACTACCGGTTTTAGTGTTTTTGTTATCTCCCAGAGAAACCCCACACTGCCGGCAGCTAGTCATTCCCAGTCCACTCCTTTCCACTCTTTCCAAGCCCCCTACCCTGGGGAGCCTGGAATCTGTTTTCTGGCTCTATCAATTTTTCAGTTCTGAGCATTGTGTCTGAATAAGATTGTACAGCATGAGTTTCTTCGTAAATGACTTCTTCCACTCAGCATGTTTTCAATATATGTCCCATCAGTAATTGGCCTTTTATGGCTAAGTACTATATGGATATACTTCATTTTATTTATCCATTCTTCAGTAGATTGGATGGATTATTTTAAAATATTTTCTATAAAATACCTATATTAGGAATATGAAAGGAGATATTGGTATACATGATATCAGCATTAATATGATAAAAATATTGTCATAAATAGTGTTAATATTAGGTCAAACTACTAAAGCAACTTTTTAAGAAAGCAAAACCTAGGAGCTGAGCATGGTAGAGCATCTCTGCCCTCCTGGCATTTAAGAAGCAGAAGCAGACCATCTTGGGCTGCACAGTCAAATCCAGTCTCAAAAAACAAAACAAAACAAAAAACTCAAACAAACCATCAACAAAAAGGACCAAAACAAACTCCTCCCCTCCTCAACCGTTAGACAGATACAGTTTTGTTTGCCTACAGTCTCAGTGCTTAGGGAAGGTCTGAAACCCGGGAGTTTAAGGCTACCTATGCCAACATAGTGAGATCCTGTCTCAAAGATTACAAAGGAAAGAGAGAGAGAACAACCTAAAACACAGTTTGCAGAACTTATACAATACTTTTGAAAATACACAGTATGAACTTTTCAGATCATTCTTAAGACTATTATTTTTAAAAAGTTTAATTTATGGCTAAAAATTTTGCACTTTTCCCCTGTTTCCATTAGTGAATTATTCTACAGAAACACACCTTCCTTCCACAGACACTTCTAGAAGGCTGAGAAAAGGGAATTTGTCCCAGCCTTTTATGAGGCCAGTATAATCTAGATGATGTCGAAATGGAAGGACAGAAAAAGAACTGACAGTTACATGCTAATCTCTCCCATAAAACCCTGAAGAAAGTAATTAGCTAATTGAATCCAGTGACATATATTACAAAAGACATCTTTACGAGGGAAGTTCATTCCAGGAATGCAAAGCTTGTTAGCATTGGAAAAAGCATTGGTATTCACATCAACAAAAATGGGAGAAGAGAGGCAAGATGATCTCCCAGACAGAGACATTTTTGTCTAAAACTTAACACTCTTTTATAATAGTAAGAATTCTGATCATATTAAGACAAGGGGATGCCTTTATTCTAACAAGTAATATCTAAAAAATACAGTAAATGTTATACCTAGTAATATTTTTGTAATAAAAGTTTTGCCTCTAAGAAACATTTAAGAATGTCCACTTAGTACCATATTAATAGTATAGGTTTTTTTTGTTTGTTGTTTCTTTCTTTTTTTTTTTTTTTTTGGCCCAGCTTTATTATGACAAAGATGGGGACAATCCCCACCTCACCTCTGAACAGGAAGCTCTTGTACCTTTCCATGAAAACCCCATTTAGAGAGTCACACACAACCCCATGCTCAAGTCCTAGGAACCTCTGAGAAAGAGGGACAGACAAGCAGGGTCTTCTGCTCACAGGCACCACCAGAGAGCACCTGAACTCTTGCTGAAGGAATGTATGGGGCGACAGCTTAGACCGACCTGAGGGATGAGAGATGTTCTCACAGATCTTTTCCGCAAGCATTGGCCCCCAGCTGCTACTCCAAGGAGACCCTGCTCACTCCGTGAACCCGCCGTTGAAAGGAATTGTTTGGGTCTATGTTTTTGTTGATGGTTTTGTTTGGTGTGCACCAGGGTCTCGCAGTCCATGCTCTGTGGCCCGAGAGGCCAGGCTGTGTAGTGGTAGCAGCAGTAACTGCAGTTTATGCTCCAACACGTCAACCCGGGACTGCAGCCTGTGCACCTGCTCCCTCACAGCCTATCCGCTCCTGCTGTGGGGTTTGGGCCACTAGCGAGGTCCTCCCTCCTTGAGCAAACAGAGCATCCCATTGGCAGATGGGCTTTGCCGCTCCCAACACTGGCACCAGTAGCTACCCACAGTATTGACAAAGCGCTGGGAACAACTGGCCTCTTCAATACTCATTCATCCGCATCTGTGTGGCAAGTGTCTCCCTGCCATCACACAAGGCAGCAGCAGTAGCCTAGGAGGATGCAACTCCCTCCGTTTGCACATGGAGGCTGCCATGTTGCAGCTCTACAGAGCCCCGGGGAGCCTGCTGGTCCTCTTCCAACCGGAGCAGAAGCTATAGCAAGGCCTGATGGGAGTCGGCCCAGGGCTGTGGGGATGAGAGCCTGGTAGATGGTCCAGCGGGTGCCGCAGGCTCAGTGTCCATCGCAAATGATGAGGAAAGACTGGTATAAACGTTGCACAAAGGACTCAGCGACAGGGCCTCCAGAAAACCCCACGGCACACACTCTGCCTCTGGGGCCTGTAGACATGCGCAGTACCGCCTACAACCCTAGAAACCAGGGCACAAACAGTTCTCACGAGCCCCACGTGGTTCACATCTCTAAGTGGGGTAGCTTTCTTCTTTTGGTGGCTGCGTGGTCCTGGGTGCACACCATAATATGTTTCCTTAAATGTCATAGCAGTACAATAAAGCAAGACATGTAAACAAACAAACAAAAAAACAAGTGAAAATTAAAGAGAGATAAAATGGTCTTTGTTAGCAGGTGATGTAATTACATGGGTAGGAAGTCCAAAAGAATTAAACAGATAACCGGGAAGGATTAATAAATTAATTTAGCCAGGTTGATGAACATAGTTAACATGTAGAAAATAAAGCTTATTTATAACGTACAGGGGAAAGCCCCTTTGCGACAGCCGTGACTTAGAGTGGAAAGTGATGCCTGTATTTACAAAAGCTTTCAGAGGGCATATGAACAAAAACCTGAAGAGTCACCGGTTAGCAGATGAAATCACAGGCTCTGACACAAGGGTGTGGCTGTGGAGAA